CCCCAGCACCTGGATGCTCACTCAGCTTCATTGTGGCCAGGAAAAGATGGAAACAGCCCAGCCCCGGGCTGCAGGCTCACTCGGTGCCGCTTTCCTAAGCTCGAGTTTTACCAGCAGTTGCATCCTAAGACCGAAACATCTCCAGCGGAGGGTGAGGTTCAGCCTGAAGGAGCCAGGCAGGAGCTGCCCGACAGAACGACCCGGTGGGAGAAGCCTAAACATCCTCCACCCTGCAGCAGGCGCAGGTTTGAGCTGCTCCCCAGTCCCACCTTGTTCTAGAGGGAGTGCTGGTCTGGGCCAAAGTTAAGTGGGAGGAGAGGTGCTGGGGGCTGTAAACACGAGGCAGGTTCCTGTACAGTCTGGGGAGTCGAGCACAAAGAGCAGCAAAAACAGGGAGAAATGCTCTTAAAAGGACAAACTAATCAGGGAAACATCCACATTGGCTGAAGGCTAGCAGCCCGAGGACTCGTCCTTGGAAGTGTTTGCTAAATCCTACGTAAGGCACTACGGTCTAGCTCACTAACATCAAGCTGCTGTAAAAACACATCTGCGATGCAAAAAGCTGAGGTGGAGACGTGTGGTTTGAAGATGGCCTGAAGCAGTGGTGGACCAAGAGGGTTGATCCTCCCAGGGCTTGCCTGGACGCTGCCTCCCAGGTCAGCAACCCCCTCACCACCTCCCACCCCCACGGCCTGGGTTTCAGGCTGGGTTTCCACACGGAAACCTCCTGCCAGGAAGTTTTAACTGGGATGAAAGGCCTGGTGAGGGGCTCTTCCAGCAGGGAAAGCCCCGTGAGCAGGGCTGGGAGGGTAAAGCTCTCTGACTGCACCCCTTCAGGCCAGGGTTAGGTTATAACAGTTGTAACAGCAAAGGCTGTGTCAGGTGGAAGCACGATCCAGCGATCAGGGCGCTAACGCTGGGTTTGTGAACTACAGGGCTCAGCTCTGGTCCCAGCACAGCCCTCCTGCAAGTCACACAGATGGTCTGGAGCCTCCTGGCACCCTTCTCCTAAGAGGGACCTTGGCCTTCCTGCAGCCAAGCCTCAGCTTTGTGTCCCTGGAATAGATGGAAAAGAAAAAAAAAAAAAAAACCAAAAAAAACCCACCTCTCCTTTCCCTGCTTTAGCTCTGCCTCAGCTCACCTGAATTTCCCGCGTTTCCATTCATTCCCGTGAGGTCAAAGTACACTGAGTAGATAACAAGGAGGTGCTGCCAGTTCAGGAACCTTCCAGAAAAGCTGCAGCCCGCACGTAGGCGAGGAGCAGCTCCTGCAGCCAGGGACGAGGGGTCGGCAGGACCCTCTGCTGCCCCAGCAAGGGCTGAGTGTCGGGGCGACGCTCCCCAACCCGCGGCCGGGGGATTCAACGGGGTGAGAAGTGGTTTAGTTGGTTCAGAACCTGCAGGGTGGGGACGAGGTGGTGCTTCACATTGCATTTACAGTGAGCAAAGTCTAAAGACCATCCCACAATATTAGTGTTGCTCTGAATACAGGCAAGGAAAATCGAATATTAACTGCTCAGCCTGAGGTTCCAAATCTCCCTACCTGAGCTGTAACCAAACCTAAACAGCAGCATTGCGTTTTGCTTCCTGGAAATAGTTATTTAACAGGGAAAAGTGTTTTGAGGGAAGCCAGAATCCAGCCCATGAGCCATTTAGGCCAAACCTCCTCTCCCAAGTACTGTTCCTCACAACTCAAGTTTGGCATTAAATGGATCAGGGCAGCAGACTGCTTTCCGTTTCTTTTGTACACAGACGATGCCCACCTGAAGACGTGACTCCAGGCTCCCCACTGCCCTCTAACAAATGTCACTAGTGAAATCCAGCTCGGGGAGAGGGAAGGTCTGCCCGTCCTAGCAGCCCTGCCTCGTGGAATGCTTTCCAGCTTGTTCATGCTACTCTACCCTAACGTCAACAGCTCACAGCCTGGGCAGCATCCACCGACTCAGAAGCTGCCCGGCTATGAAATTATTTAGCTGCTTGCAAAGCGTGGTCCGAGAGACTCACTTTTTCTAAAGCACTGCACTCCCGGTGCAAACCTAGAAATCACTTTGCTCCCATTTCCCCTAGACAAAAACAATAGCTTTAAACCCCAATTGTGCCCAGCTGGACTCAGAGCTGGAGCCTGGCAGCACACCCCGCTGCCAACTCCACCTCCTTACGGAACCAGATCTTCTCCAGAAACAGCTCCTGAGCCAGTGGCAGCACAGGAGACACGGGGAGGGCCGGGCAGGGGCAGCTCTGCTCTCCGGATCTAGTTTAACACTCTTGTGAGCACAATAGCTGCCAGCTTGTGCTCTTCCACAGGCCCCTACAGCCCCCTCCCGCACCCCCAGAACGCCCCTTCCCAACAAAAAAGTAACACCCAAAGATTTCACATTGCCAGAGATCCTGCAGACCAGGGATCTTCTGTATCATCATCTTCCCTTATCTTTGACTTCCCTCGTTGCACGTAAATAATGGAGATTATGGGTCCCTGGTAAATAAACCTGCAAGAAAAACAAGAAAGGAGAAAGAGAGGTCAGGTATGTCAGTGGTTTTGTCCCGGTGACTACACTGTGACAACGTCCTGGCAGCCCTCCCGCTGCCACCCGACCCAGGGCACAGGGAAGCAAAGCAAGCAGGGCGGCTGGTCCAACATGCTCCTCGCACCTCTCCTTTCATTCCCAAGCCTTAATTAAAGCATTATTTGAGGGTCTGGGAGAACTTGAGACGAGCACAAGCCACCTTCTCCTTACAGGGCCCCTGCTAATGACTGAGAACAGCAACACCCGCGGACAACTGCCCCGTGTGGAGGCTGCAAGGGCAACCAGATCAGTGCTGGAGTCACACGGAATCCTCTGGGTTGGAAAAGCCCCTGAAGCTCCTCCAGCCCAACCCTGACCCTCCCCCTGACCGTTCCCAACTCCCCCAGATCCCTCAGCACTGGCTCAGCCCAACTCTTCAACCCCCCCAGGGATCCCGGGGACTCCCCCCTGCCCTGGGCAGCCCATTCCAACGCCCAACAGCCCCTTCTGCACAGAAATCCTTCCTCAGAGCCAGCCTGACCCTGCCCTGGGCAGCTTGAGGCCATTCCCTCGGGGCCTGGCGCTGGGGCCTTGGCTCCAGAGACTCATCCCCCCTCTCTGCCCCCTCCTGGCAGGGAGTTGCAGAGGGCCAGGAGGTCTCCCCTCAGCCTCCTCTTCCCCAGACTGAACCCCCCCGAGTTCCCTCAGTCATCTGGCTGCTGGATGGAAGGGCAGGACCACCCCACTGCAGAGAGGGTGCCCACTCTCTCCCCCAGCCTTCCCACTGGTCCCAGTTAGCCCGAGATGGGTGTTGCCACATCTCTCCTGTGCAGCGCTTTCACTATCGATCCGCACACTGCGGTCTGGACGGGTTTTACAGCTGTTTCTTTCCCGGGAGTGATTCAGCCAGCCCTGTGTCGAGCAGGCTGCCGAGAGCAGCGTGTCTCCAGCTGCCCCCCAACACAGCTCCATCCCACGGGGCTCGCCGTGGTGACACCCAGCTGGGGAACAAGGATGAGTGTCACCTCCGCAGAGCTCAGCCTTGGGGCTCCACGTGACATGCTCGACGGCTCCCGGTACCGGCAGAGCGAGCTGTGACACCAGGGACACCCCGCACTGCCCACCCCGCGTGTCAGCAGCAGCTCGGGCTTTTCAAGTGGCTCTGCAAGAGGCAGTTAAAATCCACTTTGGTGCAGCTGAAAGCAGAGCAGGATGGATGCGCAGTGCGGCCACCCTGCGCTTGCCACAGGCTGCGAGGATGCTCAGTGTCAGGGATTTTAAGGAAAAACAGGCAGATTTTTGCTGTACCAGTCCCTGCTCTGGCCAAAGCATCATGCATCCCCTGCAGCCCCTCGAGCACCAACGGTGCTGCACCGCTTCCTCACAGCCCTGACACCGCACCCTCCCGTCCTCTGAGCTCAGGGAACACAGAGACACTAGACTCTGTAGATAAACCACCAGCATTTTCCACCCAGCTTGTTTGCAACCCAGCAAATTCCCTGGGAACATCCCATCCAGCATTGGGGCTGGACCCAGTAGAGGAACAGCACACGTGATGTCACCCCCCTACGGGAAAGACATCACCGGGGTGTCACAACCTGCAGAGGGACCTGCAGAGCCTGGGCCAGGGGTTGTGCTGGTGGTGAAAGCCGGGCCCCACCTGCCCAATGGAGGGACCTGGGGGGTCTCCCTGCTGCTGTCAGCTCCTCAAGGGCTTCCTGCAGCAGGGGATGGGGCTGGAAGTCACTGAAAGATGTGCAAACCTTCCCCCCAAGGGGTGCAAACCTTCCCCTCTGCTTCTCTGTGTCACCCCTCGTGCTACGCACACGTAATTTTCTAGCAGGTTCATTTTTCTCCAAGCTTAAGCTCTGAGCTCAGTTATGTGGAAAAAGCCAGGGCAGGTTGGGTGGATTTAGCCCCCCCCCACTTCATCAGGGGCAGATCCACACTGGGGGTACCCCCAGGCCCTCTCCCACCAGGAACAAGCCAGACGGCTCTGCAGAGACACCGAACAGCAGCGACAGAGCAGCGGGAGAGACCTGAAGAAAAACTGCCACTGCCCAGCGAATGACTCAAATCCCTTAGCCCTAAGAAATCTCATTAAAGAAATCCATGCCCAGGGAACACATTGCTAAAGGAAGAGGCTGCCTCTGCTGCTCGGAGCAGAAGCCAGGGCCACGGGCACGCTGCTTTTCAGGAGACGTTAACCAGGAGATGCTGCAAGCAGACAAGAGCTTTTAATACCCCCCCCCCACTGATGCCACTTATAGTTTTAATCAGGATAGGAACGAGCAGCCCAGGGAGTCCTCACCCAGTGCCTCGGGAAGATGACACTAATTCCTGGGTCAGGGCAGCGACGGGAGGTGGCAACGTGGGCTGGTGGCAGCAGAGGACTCGGTGCAGGGGAGGGAGAGATAACCCAGCACCTTCTCGTGTTAATCACATTATCTACCCCTGCGCGGGAGCACAGGGTACAGGGGAAGGGGGCCAAGAGCCTGGTTTATCTCCTAAGTTCTTCCCCATGCTCCATATGTGTATTTGTGACACACTCAGGAGCTTCCTCAAATCCAACCGCAACGTGACGCTGAGCAAACGCAAACACCAACACACCTGGCCAGAGGTGACGTGATCCACTTTGTCTTCTGGGCTCTGCTTCCCTCCAGGTAGAACCCAGAAATGTCACCAGCTGGGGCAGCCCTGCCACGGCCAGCAAGAGGAACTGACCTCGCTTTTACCATCCTGGGCTTTTTGTTCACGCCAAGGTTCACAAACCACACTGGAAACTGTCCCAAGTGAAAACCAACACTGCTTCAGAAATGAAACCACCACCCTTCTCCTCGACTTGCTCACCTGTTCCTGGCCGGGGGGGGTCAGGGCACTTTTACCACACGGTAAAACTTGAGTTGAGGGGTATGAACAGACAAGATCTAGCTTGATGCAACAGCCCGGCTCACGGGCAGCACCAGAGATGCTGCTGGTGCTCCAGTTCGGGAGGGCAGCAGTTTATCAGCTGCACTCAGGGGTGGCTGGGCACAGCCCCAGGGAACAGACACCGCCAGGCAGGGAGAGAAATACGGGCCTGTTCATTTTGAAAACGTAAAGAGGAAAACAATGCAAATGCAGTTACTTTCAGGGGAAACTAGAGTGATGAAAACCAGTGACAGAGGAGGAAGGGGAGTGCTGGAGCGGGCCAGGCTGGCCCCTGTGTCAGACACCTCCCTGCTGAAGGCCCTCCCCGGGGTGCTGCAGTCTGCACCACATGCAGATTCCTGCCGTTCACCTTGAGCATCCACCCCAGAAGCAGATCTACCGTTTCATCCACAGTGAAACCATCACAGAATATGATCTACCAGAACAAGCTGCCTCTACACTGATCGCAACCGTTGCCGTCTGATGTCCTCTGTGAATTAAAACGACAAAGTTTCTTAACAGATTAAGTGTCGGCTGCCACTTGCTCCCCTTGTTCCCGTGAGACCCTCCAGCCAGCAGCCAACAGCCCCAGGTGTCTGCGGGCTCCTCAATCCACACTGCACAAACCCACAGCGCTGGGAGGGTCTCACTGAACCACTCCTGCCCCGGGGCACTCAGGAAGGCAGCTACAAAAAAAAAAAAAAAAAAAAAAAAAAAAGGGAATAAAAAGATGTTCAGAGTGCAGGAAGGGAGGAAAAGTGGCTCCAATGTTCCAGTAGTGACAAAAAGGGGTGAAAAGCTCCTGCCTGGGCAGCTCTGGGCTATAAGAGCCATCAGCAGGTACCCAGCACAATCCAGCCACTCCCTAATTGTATCAGAAAGGCTTTTGTCCTCTTTGCCCAAAAGGCATGCTCTTGGGAAACAGCCATCTCAGGCTTTAGATAAACTCCTGCAGAAACAAGCACAGTGTTTAAATAAGAAAGAGAAGCAGCTTCCTTTCACCCAGGGAAAGGCTGCCCACCCCTCTGCTGGACCTACAGCCCCAGGCCATCCGCAGCACTGCTGAGGGAGCAAGGAGGTACACGGGCTCATCGCCACCCCCAGCACCCTGGTGTCCAGCACAAACCGAGCCAGAAACACTGTCCTGGCTGAGAACTGACATTTAGTATCTGCGTTTTGGGAGGGCAGCAGAGCATGAAGCCTGACGACTGGCAGGTGCGTGCAGCACCTGTAGCAGAACTAAAGGCAAAGCTGCTGGGACACGGAGCAACACTGGAAGAGGTCTGCAGCATATGAAAGAATAAGGAAAAGTCTGATCGCTTGGGTCAGGGAGGGTGACAGTTTTCCAGGTTACAGCCTGAACCGAGGCTGAGCAGGGTCTGAAGCTGTCCTGGGGAAGAACAACTCCCTCCCTGCCCACACCAGCGCCCCAAATAAGTTGGAAGAGGTTACCCGAGTTTCTCGGTCAAATTACCTGAGAGCAAATTCAGACCTTGCTCTAAATCCCATTTTAAGCTTCTCCAGCAGATTTCCGATTCGAGATTTGCATTTAATAACAGTCAGAAGGAGCTTGATGTGAACGTGCAGACGCATTAGAAAAACCCTGCAGGAAAGCCGAGCAGATATTCTGCTGCCCCGTAAACAAGGCAGAGGAACACTCAGGGTTTGCAGCGAACATATGGCCAGTGCCGGGCTCCTATCTGGGCCAAGCGGCCACGCAACGTAAGCCAGGTTGTGTTATGTAAGTGCATCCAGCCCTGCTGCAGCTGTGTCATCCCCGGAGCGGATGGATGGATGGATGGATGGATGGGTGCAGACTCAGGGCTGGCTCAGGCCACGGCTGGAAGAGGGGGGGGGTGTACACAAGGCAGCTGGGTTAGAAGCAAACAGCCCCAGGGTAGGACTGTCCCCTCGGTGTTTGTTATCCCTGCATGTACTATTCTGCAGATCTGCGCAGGATGAATTTTCCCCGGAGGGCACGGGCTGGTTGCATAACTCAGCAGCATCGTGTCAGCACAGAGCGATGGCAGATGGCAAGGGCGAACCCCCAGCACCCCAACCCGAGCGGCTCGGCTCCCAACAGCCCCACGCCTCGCCCTGGGGCACCAGGTGGGGTGCCCTGCTTCCACCCCAGGACTTTATCACACCCATCTTAAGGGCTCATATTTCTGCAGACTCACTCCTCCACCCTAATCCCCAGCCCACACTTGCACTGGGACCAGTAAGGAGCCCCAGCCCCAGGCAGAAGCAGTCACATCAATTACTTGTGCTGGAGATGTTAAGGATATTAAATATTTTGTGCTGGGGTGAAGAGGGGACGGTCTGCGGACCAGCAGTGACCACACTAGACCTACCCCATGGGCCTCTCCATTTCTATAGTCCCATTTCTCTGCAAACAGCACAAAACCTACCCGGGCACACACACAGAGCGGACGGGAAGCACAGGGCTTTACATAAGCTCAGGAACCCTCGGGTGGGCAGCAACGAGGGTTTTTTTAGCAAAACTTGCCAAAATGCCCTCACCTTCCCCAGCACTCTGCTGCTGGAGGCTCTCTCGGGAGCAGACCAGGCTCCCAGCCAGCTGCTGCAAGGCTGAAGGCCGGGTGTTTGCTGCCATTTCATCCCTCTTTGCTCTCTTGTATCTGCAGTTTGCTCTGGTCCAGCACAAGCTGTGTGGTTTTGGGGTGGGAGCCCAGCCTGCAGCGTCAGCACCTGACCCGAGCAGGCTCTCAGAGCTCTCCTGGGACCAGCAATGGTCAGGCAGCTCAGCAGGAGCTTGAGAAAGAACCTGGCCTGGGAAGACATCAGCCTCACCCCTCATGATCTGTAATTTTTCAGTTTAATTGAAGTGTTTGGCCAGGAGAATCCCTAGTAACAGCTCCTGTTTACAGACAGCTTTGCCATGCAGGCAACAGCTCCCGGTCCTTCAGTGTCCTTCGGTGACACCACCCAGTCCTTCCAGATCACGTGTGCCCACCCAGCCTCAGGAGAGGAACCTCTGAGCTGGGCACTCCAGCACGAACCAAGCTGGGGGGAGAAGGGAGGGGACTCTGCTAGAACAGAGCTGAGCTCAGTCTGAGCACAACTGTTCTGTCAACTTCCTTCCAGAGCAGACACGAGTCTACAGACTCAGACTGTGGAGACCAAAGCATCCTACCGGGTGTGGGCAACTGCAGCTCACACCAAAGGGAAGTCCTGCCTTCAGCGAGGAAACGAAACGAGACGGACCCATGCGCCTCGGAGGTGAAAGCAAAGAGCTTTGTCTGTGCTGAGATGGAACTGCCACTCCACTCAGGGGCTGCTCACCAAGCCCTGGGGTGTCTGTCTGTCCTGTCTGAGCCTCTGAGGGGGACTGTGAGACAGCAAAGTGCTCCCAGCACTGACTGCAGAAATTATAGCACGTAGCAGAGCAGGCAGAACCGGCAGCTCCTTCCCTGCCCCTGGGAGAGATGGACGTACCCAGCGCCGATGTCCGAGGGTGCTCACGGGTTTCTCCGCCTGTCTGAGCCACTGGCCAGGCCCTCGGAGGAGCAGAGCTCCTGCCCAGCCCTGCCAGCTCTGCTGGGCCTTTGGGCAGCAGCAGGACGTGCAGCTGCTAATTCTGCTTCCCACCTCTACTTCATTTTTGCAGTAGAATAGGTGGAAAAAAAGCTCAGAAGCAGTGCTCTGATGAGTCACTACAGAAATAGCTCTGGAAACATAAAAGACTCCTTTGTGTCACTACAAAGTGCATTATCAGGCTGGTACAGCAAACAGAATAATACAAAAAACTGTGGATCACTTACCCAGCTGCAAAGCACAGCGGTGCCCTGCCCTGAATTTAAGCAGCACATGTAACCTGGTCCATTCTGGTTTCAAGCTCAAAGGCATCAGGTCGATCCTGCGGGTTAGCAGACAACATGTCTTTCAAGAGCTGCTTGATCCCTTCAGACATGGAAGTCCTGCGTTTCTGAGGGATGTGCAGCTCCATCTTTGGGTTTTCTAGCAGCGCTTCCCCAACAGGCACAATCTCAGTCCCTTGCTTGATGTAGGTCCCCAGCAGCTCCTTCTTGGTCTCTGCGTCGATGAAAGTTATCCTCTCGATCATGGCCCAGATGATGATGCCGAGGGCAAAGATGTCAGCCTTGGCAGTGTAGTGTCCCTCCCAGACCTCGGGTGCCATGTAGAAATCAGAGCCACAAGCCGAAGACAGCCAGTACTTGTTCACATTCACATTTTTGTTCTCATGCCCACCCTCCTTGCCCCGAGCAGTCAGGCCAGCGCAGACCTTACTCAGCCCGAAGTCGGCCACCTTGAGAACCGGGGTGCCGGACTTCTCTGTTATCAGGATATTGTCTGGTTTCAGGTCCCGGTGGACAATGTGGTTCTTGTGCAGGAAGGCAATGGCGCTGGTCAGCTGCAGCATGAAGCTCTTGTTTGTCGCGGGGTCGGGTCTTCGCGAGAGCACGTACTGGTTGAGGTCTCCCCCTTCGCAGAACTCCATGACAAACCACAGGTAGCAGGGCTCCTCCGCGTAGCCCAGGATCCTCTCGCCTAACGAAAGGGATAAAAGCAAGAGTGGGTTTTTCAGACACGTTAAAATCTCCACACTAAGCGTGGGGAAGGAACTGGTCTGGTTTATGCGGACAGTGACCAGGACCTATCGCGCCGCAGGGTACCAGTGCCCCTGGCACTGCTGCGGCTTCAAGTGCTTCAGGATCTCGCCGAGTGCCATGCACCAGCACCACGTTTATCTGAGCCCACTGCCCGGGAGCAGCTCAGGGACCTGTTCCCAGCAAAGCACAGGCATGCAAGTAAGACCAAGTGTGTGTCTTCTCGAGTGCTTGCAAGGAACTTGGAAGCAGAGGGTTATTTTCCTGCACTACCATCAGGCAATTCTCCCCGGGCTCCAACAGCCAAAGCAGCAGAGACTAAAAGCACAATTAGCAGCAAATCCACAGGAAAAAAAAAAAAAAAATCAGTTCTATGTGAACGCCAGCTCTCCCACCTGAGCTCTGCTGCAAGAGGCAAAGCCTGGCTTACACCTTATGCTTTACCAGCCTAACTGCAAGTGGGGATTAAATCACGCCCCTTACCGCCGTGCCAGTAAAGCCTCACTAAAAGCAGTCACACCAGTGTCAAAGCCTCGCAGCACACTGGCCCTTCTCAGGCTAAATTTGTGCATTTAAGCATTGTGTTTGTGCTAGGGGAGCTCTGCCACTTCATACAGCTTTCATTAAGTGCCAACAAGTTCTTTAAAGAGAGGAAACCGGAGGCCCAAGTAGTAAACAACTTCAGTGTGATCTCAGCCATGCTCACAAATGTAACTGTTGCCTCTACTCCTTAGTGCTGCTACTCAATATTATGCCCGGAACAGCTTCTTCCTTCACCAAACATCTGAGCTCCCCAAGCGCAGAGCCCAATTCGTTGCTCCTAGGTTTTACTCCAAAACCCCCCCTGCCAAGGGCAAACCACTCCCTTGCACATCACCTAGACACGTGGAGAAACACGACAGCATCCCATGGGCACCCTGGGAGGGCGCCGACAGACCCGCCCGTTAGCCAACGCCAGGATGCAAATCCCACCGCCAGACCCCCGTCACCTGCGCAGAGCCCCTGGGGACAGACAGAGCCTGCACACACAACCAAAACATCGCTTTGCTCCAAGAACTGGCTTTTTTTTTTACCCTTGAGCACCATAAGGGAGAAGCTGGAGGACACCACTCGCCTCTGCCACAGTAATGAGCCACACAGACGAATCCAAGTGTTTGGAAAGCAGTTAAATAACTCCACCCATTTGACAAAGTCGGGTTTTGTTTTAGCAAAGCCCTAGAGAGCATCTGGGAAAGCAAACTTCCAGCAGCAGGTAAAGCCAAGGACTACCAGGGACACCAAGGCCTGGCCTGGCCGGCGCCGGTGCCTGCAATGGTCAGTGATTGGGGTGGGAATATCAGTTATTTGCACAAACAGTCTGTATCCATGGCTACTGCTATGGAAATGAAAGTCTGCACAACAGGAGGACTTGGCTGCACCTCCCTGATGAAGGTTAGGTCTGGGTGTTGGGAGGGACCACGAACAGGCTGGAGATACAGGGCGCTGGGTGCACGTTGAGGGGCCAAATGAGTCCCCCAAAGCGCTGGAGGCGGGGGGCTCAGCATGCAAGCCCAAGGGCCAACTGGGAGCAGCAGAGGACAGTTTGGCCCTGGAGACCAAAACACTGACCAGGAAGAGCAGCTTCTTTGGTGCAGCCCCTTGGTGAGACCAGTGTGGGCACAGAAACTGCAGCAGAGACACTTGGGCAGCCAGGACAGCCCCAGCTCACGCCGCTGCCGCCACCTTGGGTTTGCTAAAGCCCAGCGATGTCACGGCAGGGCGAGGGCTTTACTTTCCTGCTCCCCTCAGCATCCAGCCAGCCCCACCGTGGGGAGCAGGAGCGTTTGGCTCTTCTCAGGGGCACGGCAGAGCCCCCTGCCTGTCACACACAGCCGGGGGGTGTGAGAGCCTTCCCACAGCCCCTTCCGCAGGGAAGCGGTTCCAACAAGCCAAGGTTTGGTTTTAGCATAATGAAGGCTCCGGTTTAAAACCTGGCCCCTGAACCTCAGCAAGCGCAGGGAGGCTGCCACTGACCCAGCAGTAGCTGCAAGCACCATGCACTTCACTTTGGGTGGAGCGCTGCTAGGAGAGGCTTAAGCCAAGAGTAATATTTCCTCATTTTCTTTCTATAATCTGAAAAGTGTTTTAGTTGTTAAATCATCTTCCTGCCTTCAAAACAAACAGCTTTAAACATAAAGAGCTGGCAAGCCGCTTCCTAAAGATGAGATGTCAGCAAACTGAAGCCAAGCAGCCAAGAGCTGAAGAGATGCAGACGACAGGCCAGACCTGTTCTCCATCACGAGGCGAGCATCGCCGCACGCTCCCTGCCCAAACCCTGCCAACCTCTCCATCCCTGCAGCCGCCCTCCCACAGCCCATCCTGGGAGCTCATTAACAGCTTGCTAATTTGCTTCGCATCACAGGGAACAAGAGGAAAAAAAAATAATCTAATGCCAGAAGGACCAGCCGGGTGTAACCTCTGACTCCCTCTGTGCAGAGGCTGCGCTGGAGGCGGGAGCCGGCGGCACGAAGCCTGGGTGCTCGGACTGAGGGCAACGTGGTGGGCAATGCCAGGGCCGCCTGTGAGCACCGGCCGTGAGTTGGTGGCCCCGTGGGTGACGTGGTAGGAAGCAACACCCTATAGCTCTTCACTTGAGGCAGCTCTATCAGCGCTCTTGGCAAGGAACAGCACAAAGGGCACGTGGCTGTGCGAGCCCTGACGGTGTTCACGTCCCGGGGCACAGGGCACAAGCACACGCTGCTCCTCCAGCCTCCTTTTTGCGCCCTTGAACTTATTATTCCACATCTCATTAAGATGACAAAGAAGGCGCAGGCCCCGTGCTGGAGCCGAGACCCGACGTCACCTGGTATCCTGACAGTTGTGCTCCCGATGCAGAAAGTCTCCGACTAATCCCCCCTCCCCGTGCCCTGAGCCCTGGCGCGTTGGCACAGCATCTGTGCAGGCCCGTAAATAGCCCAGCTGCGGTCGTGCAGAATGGCACGGCAGCACAGCGACGTGCCCGCTACCTCGGCCGGAGCGACAGCACGGCAGCTCCACGCACGCAGCCCGCGGGCTGGGGACAGGGGAGGAGAGCAGGCAGGCCTGGGGGCTCACCGAGCTCTAGATTTTGTTTCGAAAAATATTTATCAGTGCCCTATCAGGCCCAAAGCTCGGGAAGGCAGCGAGCACAGCCTCTGCCCCAGGCTGTGGGCAGCACAACACAGCCCGGAGGAAGGCAGATGGAGGGGAGGCTGCACTCTGGTTTGGGGGAGCAGAACTGCTGCTCCCCAGCCCTGGGATGGAGCACCCAGCTCTGCCCCCCCTGCCCCTTCAGAGGGCTTCAGGGCAGGATTGGGGCAGGTCAGGGGACTTTCTCCCCATTTCACCTAACTGGGGGCATCTACACCTACCCAAGACCTTCCCCAAGTCACGCCACCACTTCTCGGGGCGTGCAACATGACAAAGGGGGGCAGGACACACACCCCCCACCGGTACCTGCCAGAAAGAGCTCAACTTGCTACAGCCAGACACACACCCGAAGGGGAGAGCTGGCTCCTCTCCCGGGGAATCACCCCCACGAGAATAAATAAAGGAAGCACCCAGGCTATGCAGAAATTAGGACACTGCCCTTCTTGGGGAGTTTCCTTGGGGGGTTGTGCGTGGAGCGGGAAGGGAGAGCAGGAGCAGGGCTGCATGGGGGGAGCCAGGCCAGCCTGAACATGTCCCCCCCCGGAGCACAGAGGGGACAGGCAAGGCAGGGGCAGTCTGGAAGCCAGAGGCTGTTGCCCAGAGATGGGTCTCAGGAGCCTTGAGGTCTGTGCCTGGCACAGGGAGGGAGCATGGGGAGACTGAGCTCCCCAGGGAGCATATGGGAGTCCTGGCACACAAGTTTGGGGAAGGGGGGTGGCTGGGGTGAGCTGGATCTGTGACAGCCCTGGGGGGCACCGAGGATACCGGACTCTGGTATTTTTCCACGTCTTCAGGGCACATTGGCAGAGCTGGGCCTGACAATCAGCCAAGGGAGCGGAGGGAGGGAGGGAGCGTTTCGGAGATGTCACCATCACAGTCATCAACTGTGGCAGGAGAAGGTGACCCCTGACAGCCCCACGATGCTGCTGAGGGACCCAGGGGGGGAGATGGGGGTGTGAGCCCAGGTGCTTCCAGGGCTGTCCCCACTGCAGGGAGGGGAACAGGAGAGCACAAAGAACGGTCCCAAAGCTCTAAGAGCTCGGGGGAGCAGTAACAGGCTGCAGCCTTGGGGATGCTCAGAGGAGACAGGCAGAAAGGGGGGAGATGTCCCCTTGGAGTGACTGGGACATGTGCGGGCTGTGGTGCTGGTCAGGGCAGCGGAGGGAGCCCCAGGGTGGGGGTGTAACGGAGGAGGTGTAAGCACTGACGGGGTGCGGGGACTGGCTGAGGGCTCCCCAGGGCTGGGACTGAGCCTGGAGGGGACAACAGGGTCCCTCAGGAGGAGGGGCAGAGGGCTGGGGTGCTGCAGAGGTGCAGGGCACAAGGAGGGACCCCACGAGCAGGACACAGGGCTGCCAAGGCACAGGGTGGGGGTGCG